ATCCCTATATGGGATCCGAACCCGGGGCCTTGGTGTTATTAGCACCACACTCTCCTGAGTTAGCCATGGGCCAGCCCACCTAACTGATTCTTCCTGCTATATTTAACCCATTCCATGGCCCTTTCACCCCACCAGCAAGTCCCATCTATTTCCCATTTTGGCTTGCTCCATCATTTCTCCTTTTAGGTGATCTATATTTCTCACCTGGATCGAATTTTCTGGACTCATCTCTTTCTACTCTTGACATGTTGGCATGCTGCGGCCACGTGAACCACTCACCTGCTTTCCAGCACTCTGTTGTATCTTCATGCCACTGTGACTTTTCTTGGTCATGCTATACTTTTTCTGAAATATTTCCTCCCCTTCCTCTTTTTTGCCTCTTGAAATTCCATTTCTCCTTCAAGGCCGAGATATTTGAGCTCAAATATCACCTTTTCTTTTTTTCTTTCTTTTTTTTTTTTCTTTAGGGGATCTCAACCCTTGGCTTGGTGCTGTCAGCACCACACTCAGCCAGTGAGCTAACCAGTCATCCCTATATAGGATCCGAACCCGGGGCCTTGGTGTTATCAGCACCACACCCTCCCGAGTGAGCCCCGGGCCGGCCCTCAAATATCACCTTTTCTGAGAAGCCCTCCCAAACTTTCCTTCAACCCTGCTCTAGTTATTGCAAATTTGAATGTACATTAAAAGCACACTCTGTACTCTAGAAGAGTTTGTTTATATAATTTATTTATGGTCCTTTGAAAAGTCTGATTTGTATAGTGACACATGTGTTTCTACTGGATTGGGAATTTGCTGAGTTCAGGAACTGTGTATTCATTCATTTCTTCATTCATTCTGTGTGCAGGAACCAAGTGAGGAACTGGGAACTGTGACAAGGCTGTGATGGTCTGGCTAGGGCGACAAACAGGTAAACTCACCAGTATTTTTTAGGGTGACATTTGCACTGACAGAGGATAGATCAAGGCTTGATGCATGGTCAAGAAAGGGGAGTTCATTGTGGTGGGTTAGAGAATGTTTCACAAAGGCAGAGGTGGTTCAGTTGTGCCTTAATTCCAAACACACATCTTTTTCTTCCCCACATCATGAAGCCAGGGCATGTTTTTTTGATAAATGTATACATTTAATGTGGCAATGTTTCTCTCCTACCCCAAATCTGGTATTAATTTGGCAGTATGTCCCATAGTCTGTGGCATCTTAGTATTAAAAAGATATGGTACTTAGACTCTTGTGATTGGGCATAATAGACAACAACTTGAATTTTTTAAAAAGTCGGGGGTAGGGAGGAAGTGTATTAGTTCCCTATGGCTGCTGTAATAAATCACCACAAACATAGTGTATTAAAAGAACACAAATTTATTCTCTTGTAGTTCTGGTGGTCAGAAATCCAAAATGAGTCTTTTTTTTTAAAAAAGATGACTGGTAAGGGGATCTTAATCCTTGACTTGGTGTTATCAGCACCACGCTCACCCAGCGAGTGAACCGGCCATCCCTAAACGGGATCCGAACCTGTGGCCTTGGTGTTATCAGTACCACACTCTCCCGAGTGAGCCACAGGCCAGCCCCAAAATGAGTCTTAAGGAGGTAAAATCAAGAAGCCAGCAGGTCTGGTTCCTTCTGGAGACTGTAGGAGAGGAATCTATTCTTTGTCTTTTCCAGCTTCTAGAGGTCTCCTGCATTCTTTGGCTCATGGCCCCTTCCTCAGTCTTTAAAGTGTGTCATTTCAATCTCTGCTTCTGTGGTCACATAGCCTACTTTGTAACTCTGACTTCTCCTGCCTCCCTCTTATAAGGATCCTTGTGATTGCATCAGACCCACCTGGGTAATCCAGGACAATCTTCCCATCTCAAGATTCTTAATCACATCTGCAAAATTCCCTTTGCCATATAAAGTAACATTTACAGGTTCTGGGTACTAGATGTAGATATCTTTGGGGGCCATTATTCAGCTTACCACAGAAGGAATTTATTTTAAGGATACTGATATGTCTTTAGAACCCAAAGGTGGGAATATAGCTATGTCCCAGGAAGAATCTAGAAACTTCCTGTCTCCTATATCTGCTCCTGTCTCCGTGTCTATATTCTTTTCTCTCTTTTTTGGTAGACTGACTTCTTCTGCAACTGAGCCAATATGTGGGCATGTGATTGCTGACAATTTCTGAGTCTATAAATTATGGTTTCTGTATCCAGAGATTGCCCCCCTCTTATCTCTATTTCAGATTCCTAAGAAAACCTCTGATTGGCGTGTGATTGCTGACAATTTCTGAGTCTATAAATTATGGTTTCTGTATCCAGAGATTGCCCCCCCTCTTATCTCTATTTCAGATTCCTAAGAAAACCTCTGATTGGCGCTCTTGCACCAATACCACCTTTGCCAAGGATGTAGCCAAAGTTGTAGCAGTAGCCAAAGGATAGAGTTCTTCCATGTAGTAGAAAATGACTGCCAGCAAGGAGGCATTGCAAGGGATTCTCAGTTGAGCATACACTAAAAAATAGTTCTCTATGAAGATGACTAACCGTTCACCAGGAAATTGAGTAAGAGAGTGACACGGAAGGTGGAGTGTACTCCTGGCACTTAGTCTAGTGTTTCTCAAATGATGAGTGTCTCAGAAATATTTCTTGAATTGAGTTGAGTTGTAAAATTTCTGTGAAGTGTCTTTTCATCCATGAGATTTCGCTGCCCCACCATCCTGTGCCATGCTGGGTTGTTACGTGCCACACTTTTGCCCAGAATTCTTCAGTCACTTTCTTCTTATCACAGAGTAAAGTCCAAACTCTAACCTGGATGTAGGACATGATGAGCCCCCTTTTCCCCATCTAGGATAGGAGAATAACAATGCTAATCTCATAGATGTGTTGAGAAGGTTAAGGGATTATAAGGGATTGTTGTACTTTTCAACAAATCGCCAGTGTGAGTCCCCTGCCGTGGTCAGGTTGGGTTGCTACTGTTCCACAAGCATTTGTCTCAATTATTCTTATCACTAAACCTTTGTTTCTCCTGTTACTCCAGCCTTGGAAATGCCTGACTCTATCTCCTGTCTTCTTTACTCCTCCTTATTTTTTCAGGTCCTGCTAGGCTGCAAATGTTCATTCTTTCTTTTTAATTCTAATTTTTAGTCTGTTCTACATAGAATCTAGAGTAGATTATTTAGTCCAATTTCCTACCCAAACGTGGGAAACCATCAATATATTGCTTTCCTGGTGGCCGTTTTGCTTCTTCTTGAATAGTTTTAGTGATGACGAACTAAACTTAGGCTGCTCATTTCATTTTTCCAACAGCTCTAATTAAATAACTAAAACATGCAATTATCTTTTTAGTCATGACTGTCTTGCTTTTTTAATGAAATTTTCAATTCTTCCAGAGGAACAAAGTAGCTGTTGGAAAGGCGTTTATTATATTTATGCCTAAAATTATGATTTTACGACATTAATAGTTAAACCATTGCTACCATTTTTATTTTCTTTTATTCCAACTTTATCATGCCTTGGAGGGGAAGACTTGCTGTTTCAAGGCTTATGATTATTGTGACAATGCCTACAACAGGTTTCTGAACAGAAATAAAGCAAAGAAAACCCTTCTGGTTCATGTCTATTGATGCCTGAACATTACTTAGGTCACTCTAGGTTACTCTTACACAGCATTTGAATTTTTGGAAAAATAAAGTCTGTTGCAAAACTTTTACTCCCTTTCGTATCCTTCCAGTTCTTTCACTGTTTATATACAAATAGATCCATATTTATATGCCTGGTTTAGTTTATACAAAAATTGGGATTAGACTATCCTATGGTCTAAATGTTGGTGTCTCCCCAAATTCTTATGTTGGAAATTAATACCCAGTGTGGTAGCGTTAAGAAGTGAGGGCTTTGCAAAGTGATTAAGTCATGGAGGCTCTACCTTCATAGTGGAATTAGTGCCCTTATAAAAGAGTGGTCTAAATGTTGGTGTCTCCCCAAATTCTTATGTTGGAAATTAATACCCAGTGTGGTAGCATTAAGAAGTGAGGGCTTTGCAAAGTGATTAAGTCATGGAGGCTCTACCTTCATAGTGGAATTAGTGCCCTTATAAAAGAGGATCAAGAGAACTCCCTTGTCCCTTCTGCCACACGAAGATGCAGCAACAAGGTGCCATCTATGAAGCAAAGAGTAGCCCTCACCAGACACCGAATCTGCCAGTGCCTTAATTTTGGACTTCACAGCCTCCAGAACTGTAAGTGATAAATTTCTGTTGTTTATAAATTACCCAGTCTAAGGTATTTCATTATAGCAGCTATAATGAACTAAGACCATATATGCTGCTCTGTATGTCCTTTTAAAAAGACTTAATAATATACCAATACCATCTTTTCATGTCAATATACAAAGATTTAATTATTTTAAATCACTCTATGGTGTGTCATAATTGATTTATTTTTTCTTCTATTGGTCAACACTTAACGTTGTTTCCAATTGGTTCTTGAATTCTGATTCCTTTACCTTAAAAAACATTAAAAAGATAAAAGACCACTACATTCCTACTCACACATTTGCCCACTGTTGTGGGTTGAATTTTGTCCCCCAGCGCATATAGGGCCCTTCTAGGTAATGCTGGTGAGTGAAGGGAGCCAGATGTAACAGTGGTGGGGACTGTGGTATACTGGAGAACGAATGCTTTCTCTAGGGGCACCCAAGATGCCATGATTCAGCTGATTATTGTCGTGTGGGAATTTAGGTCTCATATCACCAGATCTTCAGATTTTTCAGGAGAAGCTGGAAATCTAGAATCTAATATGAAACCTATCAACTTTTAAATGTTTCAAATTTTTAAAAAAACATTGTGCAGGCCAATAACACCCCTTCTCTGCTGGCTAGATATGACCCATAGGCCCCCAGTTTGCAACCTCTGCTTTACTGAAACAAGTAATTTATGGAGCCCTAGGCAATTATTTCTTTGTACTCCAGAAGTTCTTAGTGTGAGGATGGAGGAGATCAGGTGGTGCCAAATAAATGCACAAGAAGTCCAAGTCATGTTTTAAACTACTGAACTTTTTTTTCTTTTTATTGCAAAACATTGGTTACAGAAATTTCAGAAAGTTTTTCCCATGGTGTCTGCTAACTTCTGCTTTGAATTATACATCTAAACAAACAAGCTCAAAGTGCATTTTGAATTCAATAATAGACCTTTAAAAAAGGACAATTCCTCTAAGGATTTATATATTATATATTTATAGCATCGATAGATATGCAAACTGCTGTCTATCCACGAAGAAGGAAAAGATGTATATATATTTAGCAAATCCAATGTCAAAATCATTATATTTATAGGAATTCATTTAAAAATGATATCCGAATAATTTCCCCCATTATAAACTATGGTTAGGACATATACAAATGAGAGTCTAAGTTCTATATTATGAAATGGCTCTGAGCACAGTATACTGCACGTACTGTTCCATACAGTGGTAGCAGCAATATAGACTCAGGTCAGATGCTGTAGTGACAGGAAGCAGGCAAGTCTTCACACAATGCTACGATACTCTTCTTCTCAATCTCCCTGACAAAACCCCGTGTTCAGGGCCAGAATGATGCAGCTAACAAATTACACAGGCATTTATCATTCAGGAGAAGAATAACCTCCAATGGGGTGAGTTTCCTCCCCAACCCCCCGCCTTAGTTCTCAGTGTATTTCGTGTGTACACTCACTAAGTCAGAACCAAGAATCTGATCCTGCTTGGTCCTAAATCAGAGGTGCCAAACTATTGCCTTTGGGACAGAATGCTGCTGGCAGACATACTTGTTTGGCAGCACAGTGTGTGAAAATTTGAATTTGAATGTCCTCGTGGTGGGACGTGTATTTGCTCATGCCCTACAAACTCTTCTTCGGTTGTCTTTCACACATTTGCCTTCTGAATTTGGACCCCGAACATATTTGAGTGTGCAACCCCTCCATCTAGATGCAGATGCCTGGCTCTGATGATGTGTGGGAGGCTGCGGTGAAGACGTGAGGGACGCTTTCGGGATTCAGACAGGCAAAAAATTGGATGGGGCAGAAGCAAACACCAGCTAAGTTAGGAACATGAGATAGAGTTAGGAGGCGGCTAAGTTACTGGGAAGATTAGGTTTGGGACAAAGTCTGAATGTTTGGCTTTTTCCAAGTCGCTGCTGTGCTGCTGCAGCTTCCTGTGCTAGGGTCCACAAGGTGTTGAGGTAACGGGAGCAAGGGTCTGTTGGCCTGGCAAAAAAGCATCTTGTGTTGGTCTAAGAGAAAGGAAGAAAAGAAAGGGGATGAAGAAAGCTGCCCATCCAGGCAGGAGGCTGAATTTCCCTCCACGACCCACAGCTCTCAGGAGCCTGCCTTTTTCAGAGGAAGGCCCGGGACATGGTTGGCACTGACGTTCTTCAGAAAGCCTATGGACTTCTAGCCATACATGCATCGGTTTCACTTCCCAGCACATAAATCATGCAAATGCGCAGTGGTCTGAAGGTTTGAGGTGGCCGGTAGACTAGTTAAGTTAGGGAAGGAAAAATCACCTCACTTATATTGCCATTGGGATTACCAGGTCACTGCAATCCCCTCTTAGATGACACATAGAGATTGTCACATCTGATTTTATGAGCAGTGATAAGTGCAAGAATATCATCAGAGAAAAGGCAACACAACTACTTCCTGAAATGAATAAAAAGAAAAGAAAAGAAAAAATCTTAAATCAGACCCAACCCCTCCTTTGGATGACTCCAATCTGAGAGACAGAATGATTGACTTGTAAAAAGAAGAGACAGCTTAGGCCAATTCAGGCTGGAAGAAAAGCTTTCACTACTCTTTTTACGAGTAGTCATTTACAAGACTGTGCAAATTGGCTTCCCTTTTTTCCAGATGTTGAATGGATTCTGATAATGAAATGGTGATTTCTTTCAAGAGTAAACACTTCAGAGTCACCCAGTGCTCGATCAGACACCCAATCACCTGTCTCCCTCCCCCGTGCCAAGCTCACTCACAACTTGATTAGGCCACAAGATAAGGAGAGAGGTCACATGTCATCCCATAGCACCACTCACTCAGTGTCACTTCTGCACTGTCACGAATGGACTTTTCACTCTCATCTCTGGTTTAGCAATTTGCAACCAGTAGCCCTAAAGAATCAGAAACATGTCTTTCATCTATCACAGATGCACCAACACCTAGACCTTTGTAAACCCAGGAAGTGTTGGCTTGCCATCTCTGGGTCCCATAGCTATACATTCTGTGGTTAAATACTTTATTCCATATTATTTGTTCAGAGCTTACCTAGACCTTTGTAAACCCAGGAAGTGTTGGCTTGCCATCTCTGGGTCCCATAGCTATACATCCTGTGGTTAAATACTTTATTCCATATTATTTGTTCAGAGCTTAAAAAAAAAAAAGATTAAAAATACCCTTGGTTACATTTTTGTTTTTAATTTTTAAAACTTGAACATAATTCCCAGTGTAAGAAGCCCAACAATTTGAGTAAGCTTCCAACTGGTTTAAGCATCACAGCAGGCAATAGTAAAATGTTAAGTGCCTTAGAAAATTCCAAAGAAATGCATAAAGCAGTGCATGCATTCTGATGACACAAAATTAAGACTGGGTTTGGAGAGGAATTACTTCATTTAAGTCTCATTATTTTTGTTAAAGGATAGTGAGTTATAATGCAATATCTAGGCCAAATATATAACCACCCACACACTATCATCACTTTATCTAGAAACAACATAGTGTTACTAAATGAACATATTTATAAAAGACTGTACACTGCTTTCCCATGGGGTCAGCAGATGTAAACAAACAGCTAATTCAACTGGAGTTTAAAATATTATTTTAAATTCATTTGTCATATAGTCTCTTGCATAACATGCCAGTTCATCTTTCACGAAATCACAACTTGCCTACCACAGCTTGCAGGACTTGTTAGAAGAGGTACACCAGCTTATACAAATATTGTACAGTGGTCTACAGGAACGTGAAAAACATAAAGCAGATCAGGAACAAAAATGCCCATTTCACGAGATGCTAAATAACATGGAATTGGGAACATAGGTTAATCCTTGCAACATGTGCTTCTTTATTGAATGTTACAGATTTATAAATGATTATAAAGCTGTCCTGTAACGTTCATTAATACAACCACATGCTACAACTATGCTGGGTTAAACACAGGTTACATATATGTTTACATGTGTTTTATAATACAGCATTACCTAACATATTGAATGGTACATACTATAGATATAGCATGATGGACAACTGGATAACATTTATTATCTTTAAAGAAGTTAAACAGCCCAGACATTCAAGAAGATTAGACTGTGCAGCCTCAGAAAGTAGAAAAATGTACTATCCAGTTATCTACCATAATATTACCTGTACAAACCATGTTTTAGAATACATTTGAAACATTCAGAAGAAACACATTTTGTGTTTTTACTAGTACATTTTTCCCATTTGATTATTGTTATATATATATATATATATATATATATATATTTTTTTTTTTCAGAATGGGAACTTTCAAAGTGCTAAATTACATCCTAGACCTGGAAGCTTAGACTTAAAAAAAATCCAGTTCTATAAAGTGCTGCATTCTGACTGCTAATACACCTTTTGGCTTTCAGAAATTCACAAACTAGCCATGACAATTGTACCCAAGCTTTCTAGCTCCTCATTCAAACCCATCAAGGAAGGGATTTCCAACTATAAAGTATGTTGGTTATCAGGAGACCTCCATGGTCATTTTCATAAAACAACCTTAATTTTTTTTTTAAAGGTACAAGCAATTTAGAACAAATCATTACATTTAGTAGTACATAAAAATTGGCACCTTTGAAGCAGATAATCAAACCAAAGCAATTACTTCTTTAAGCTCTCTATGACTTTATTTATAGTCCTCAAAAACTTGCTGCTCATGAGCTGCTTAATTCACAAAGATGGGTGTAATTAACATCCCCTCGATCAGGGACATGGTGGGATAAATGAACTGAGCACAAGCTGATTGTACAAGGCCACAGAATCGATGCCACCTCAGTGCACAGAGAACCCGGACGTGGGAGGAAATGGATGGAAAAATAACACACATGAACGTGCACAGCAAAGAAATGGCTCATGAAAGTTACAGTTTGTCTGTAAAGTCATTTAAATTTGACTTATATATTTCACATACTTCACAAAAGATGTTGAAACTTAATTTTCATGCACAACAAAAGAACCAGGTAGTCACAAGGTCAGGACTGTTAAGTATTTAGTTTCCCAGGTCCTGTTTTTTTCTCTCCAAAATCACGACGAATGGAAACACTCGTGTTCATAGTTTCTCTCCCCCACTTCTAATCTGGTCCAGAATGAGGTTTTGGAGATGCTCGATGTTCTGCTCTAGGGTCAAAGAAGAAGGGTTTCACCTCCTTCTTAAATTCCTCTATAGATTTCCTCAGGAGAGCCTTCAGCTTTGTGAGTGTGCTCACTACTTAAAATCATGAAAACGTTAGGATGTGAGTACATCAAACTAGCAGCATCTAATCTAAGAAACAGAAATAATGAAATCTTGGTTCAAACTCTGGTGCTGAGACTTGGCCTTCCTGAGAATCACAGAGAAATGGTCTCAAAATATAAAGTGCCTATTACAACTGTATTGATTATGAATGAACACGATTCCTTCTTCTCATTTATCGATCAATATGGAACCAAGGGTTCATGAACTCTTTAAATTTATATTGCAACTTGGCGTGTATGTAATTCTTTTTTCCTTCTTTCTTTTCCTGGGGAAAAGGCCCAAAGTTCTCATTAGATCCTCATAGGGATTCATGACTCAAGGAAGTTTAAGAACTCAAGGAAGTTTAAGTTTAAGGAAGTTTAAGATCGGATTTATTCTCAGAATGAATGCATGTTTGCAGACAGGGAAATAGCCAGTGTGGGGCCCAATAAAACGTGTTTCTAGAGCCATTATAAACGAGGGAGTCTGGGTGTTTGTTACTGATTCACCTAAATACCAAGGAGTAAAAAAGGAATGTTTAATTCTTTACACTTATGACCTCTTCACTCTTTCTATACCTGAAAAGCGTGTTCATAAGTTTTTTTTAAAAAAAATATTTAAAGGCTAGAGGTTTTGTCCATGTATTTACTTGCTTTCACAAAACGAGATAAAACTTGGTGTTTACAACTACCACTAAACAAAAGAACCAGGTAGTATCTTGGGCCAGAAACATTAAGTCATTTTCCTTAAAGGCTTTATTCTTTTTCAAACTTCAGTAATCCAAATAGGAATCTGAAGACTTGGGGCCAAGATTTCCTTATTCCACTTCAAATTCAGATTCTGATCTAGAAGCATATGCTTATATTCTAGAGTCTGTAATGCTAACTGGTTAGAATTGCACATCCATTCAGATTGTACTTGATGTCATAGCTTTGTGCAGGAGAAACCAGAATAAATAAGATGTCATGACAGCCGGTGCTTTTGGATAGAAAGGGGCAGAGGGCAGGTAGTGAGTTGTTTTGGCAGCTCTAGTTTGGTACAAGGAAAAGCTAAGGTTATAGGGATTTAAAAAATCAAAATTTCAGCAGATGGTCTAATAGTATAATGAATTCTTTCAATGGACTTCTTGGATATTAAAAAATCTTGGATATACTTTAACATGATAGAAAAGTCCAAGCCTCTTAAGAAAGCTCTATATGTCTGTTTATATACTATCTATAAACACGTGTCTTTGTGTAAATGCATATATATATGTATAGAACTCTTTATATGGTTTATTTGTTTTCTATTTTGGTCTACTGTATCTTTTTTTTATAACTCTGTCTATAAGAAAAATATTCATGGTATGCTTACAACTGATGATGGCTTTGGGTTGATACCAGACTCCCAGTCAATTCTAAGGTTATGTATGGTTTTGAAACTTCCTTAAAAAGTACTTTGGAACATTTCCATAAAAAAGATACCAGCCCTTGAAAAATGCCAATTAAATTTATGCTGAGCTCAGATTAGATGGAAAACTCTATGAAAATATCCACATATAACCATATATTCATATACAAAATGGTCATGTGATGAAGGGGTATGAAAAATTGGCAGTTACATCTTGGAGGTGTTCAGAGGACATGGAAGAGTCATGCAAATGATGATGGTCACACAGGAGCATAACACATGACATGGATGGTGAAAATACAGCAATATCCCATATGGCAATTTTGGGTTAGTTCTGCCTAATGTGTGTTTTTTTTTTTTCAAGTTCAGTATTACATAAGAAGCGAGTGAATTCATTGAATGACAGGTGAGATACAAAATAAATTAAAAAATATAAAATTATTTAATTACATTCATCCTGAGCTTGCTTGACTATACTTGAATGCCCACTGTGTATAATAAATCACTTGGCTTTTGTGTTTAACATCAACTCTTCTTTCATTTCAATTGCAATACAAAAAGGCATCTCTGTTCCCTTATTTTCTTCCAAAAAGATAAACAGTTGTGGCACCAGAAGTGAATAGATAAGAGACAGGTGAACTATGACTGTTACCTTGTTTTTTCTTTATAATGATCAATTACAGAAGTGTTGGCATGAGAAGGATGTGGGACGTTAGGTAGAACTGCTTGCTGCCGGCTTATACTGAATAAAAAGGATGCTCTTCATCAGTCACCAGTGATGGAGCCAATGTGAAAAGAAAACAGAATGGAAGTTTAGAATATCTCATTTTGTATGCTGGCTATTTTATTTTATTTTGCAATTTTGCCCTGCCTCCTAAAACTCTTGATAATGGTCAGTAATCAAAAGATGTCTCCTGGCATGGAGAGTGCTGGAAGCCCCTTGGTCCCCAGATCTCATGGCTTTCTGCAGTGACTGGTGATACACACTCATCTCTAACCCTTCTGCCCCTCACTTCCCCTCCCTACCCAGCAAGTGTGAACATGCCTGAGATCCCTGTGTTTGGCACTGGGTCAGATCAAATGCTTTCTTGATCTGTGGCCCAGAAGTCACCTTTGAGTTAACACTTCCCAAAACATTGCTTGTTTTGCTCAGCTAAGAATAAAGCAGGTATGATTCAAGGATGGGAGAAAAGGTGGAGTTTGGGGGGAATTTTAGGACTGGGTTGTTGAGGCTCCTGCAACGCCTATTAAGAAGGTTTAGTTGTGCTTGCTTTCAAAGCTGTGGAAAGCCGATGTTCTGGACAGTCTCCTCATGGACAGGCTGTCCCCTCGGCCCTCTGGCTTGGAGGACTTACTCCTCTGGAAGGGATTTCGCAGGCTTGCTGTGTTCCGCTGCCTGTCGAGCTTGTCACTGATGGAGAAGCTCTTCCTGGTGTGTGCATGGGATGCACTGGGCTCCTCTGCTGAGTAGCTGTTGGCACGCTCTATCTTGGGGACTGTGATGTTGTTGGACAGGGCTCTGTCTGCCTTATCACCCTCCTGGGAGGATATTGCAATGGCGGCTCTCCCGCCTTTGGCCTCATTCTCTTCACTGTCAGAGCTGGGGTGACTCAGTTCTGCTTCTCTCTCAGGATGGCAGCAAGATAAGTCCTCCGTTTTGTCTCCAGGACCCCCAGGGAAGGAGGCTCTGTCAGTGATCGCTTGTGGGGCATTGACACACCGTGTGTCAATACAGTCTGTAATGCTTGTGTACTCTGCAGTTTTCACGGGCACCCCGAAGTTGGCATAATAGCTCCTCGAAGGAGAAAACATAAAGCTATGAGATTTTACGATGGGAGCCTCTTCTAGGAGAAAGGGCGTAGTGGCTAGATAGCGGCTACTTTTGGAACGCCCAATGGGGTGGTATGTTGGAGGGTCTGAGTCCCAGGGGTTTTGGCATTCTGGGAGGTGGGTATAGTCTGAAGAAAAAGATCTAGTGTCCACGGTGGTGACATCCTCAAAATCAATGCTCCGGCTTGGAGGTCTGTCTGTGGGTGCAAGAGTTGCATAGGCACTACTTGAAGGGGCTGTGGAAGGTACTGTAGTGGAAAAGCTTGGCTCGCCCAGCCCAAGAATGTTCATGGAATTGTCCAGAGGGTCTATATCACAGTGGAGCTCATCCATGGCAGAGACATAGATGTCTATACATGACGATGGTCTTCTGGAATCAGGAACAATGGCCAAGGTGTTCGCAGGGGCTGCAGGAGTTTTGGATTCTTTTGCTACAGAGTGGGAACTAGTAGCCCGATGGAGGCTCAGGGACCTTTCTTTAAAAATACTTTCCAACTTTTCTATACCTCCTTTGTCTTTCATATTGACTGAATAGAAAGAATGGCTTCGTATACGGGGCATTAAGGTGGGAGAAGTTGGGGACATGGTCTCCTCACCTGCAGGGTCTATACTCTCTTGGAGCTTGAAGGTGTTCCCCTCCTGGCTGTTGAAGCTGCTCTGGCGGACAATGTAGGCTGCGTCTGTGCAGTCCGAGGAGGTCCTCGAGCGGATTTTGTTGGACTCAGCCCGCTCCAGACCTGTCAGGCGCTCCAGGGCTGTGGCCATGCGCCCGATGAGGTCCTCGAGCTGCGCCAGCCGGATGTCCACGGTCTGGAGCGAAGCCTTCATGGAGTGCTCTCTCTCATTGACTTCCTCCAGCCGCATGGACATGTTCTCCACCCTGTGCAAGGAAGAGAGAACCAGAGTCAGTCAGGCCGGGTTCCTCTGCTGGGGGTTTTGAGAGCAAGGACAGGGGGATCACAGCCGTTTCTGGACCTTGGTGCCATCCGTGCTCTCCTCCCAGAGGGAAACCGAGGGGTTGTGGGCAGGTAGTGAGAGGGGCTGGGGAAGAGAGAATGGCTTTGATGGTGTCACTGGGATCACAGAATCCATTTTTTTTTTGAAGCTGGAAGAGGCTTTAGAGATTATTTAATACAGTGGTTTTAGCTCCCATCTCTTTTTCCCTCAATGAAATGTCATATACAATCCTGATAAATAAGCGCCAAAATGGAGCATTTCTTATGGAAGTGGAGTGGGGCCAAAGTCTTCCCCTTTACCACTCCCCCGGGCCTAGCTGTGGCTTGGGGCAGGGTTTAATCACCTAAGTATTAGAGTGTTGGCATATCAGGGTCACCAATAAAATAAGAATGTTGCCTTTTGATGATTTTACCCAGAATTTAGTGATAGAATTTTAGAATGTAGCTATTTTTTATTGAAGCATACATGTAAAATTTGTATTTTATAAAGTGGGATTGGTTTTTACCTTTATACAATATTCTTTTTTGTTATTGTTTATTCAGGATAATCTTTTTAAAATTTAGTACCTCCAAAGAAATTAATGTGGCCCTGTTACTGAGGCACCCAGGGTTGATTTAAGCTAATCCAATTCTTTCATTTATAAAGGAAAAGCAAAAATTAAGAAATGTAACCAAGTAATTTGTGGTAGACACTAGAATATCTATCAACAAGTAAATTATCCTAGTCCTTTCTCTGTCTCTCCCTTTCCAGGTAGCTGATCACGGATGCCTTATATTACAGTTATTTCTAGATGTCTCAACCCTCTGCATTGGAGTTTCTTAAGGGCATGGTCTGCCTCACACTCCTGTTTCCATCTTCATGTTGCCAGCCCAATACCTGCCAGGTATCAGTAAGTGTTCACCGAGTCAATAACAGTGTACTTGATTTTAATTGTCATACAGTCTGCCTGGTCATTTATTTACAAAGACAGAGGCCACATATTTAAAATAAAATTGTGCCTGATTTTTTATTTGCTTAGGTTAACGTGGAAAGGAGAATCAAAGCCAAGTCTTGGTTTGAGCTCAGACTTTCATGTTTAAATGCCTAAAGGCAAACCTTTGGATGAATCTGAATGAGACCCATTCACAACTTTTCTGGAGAGGATAAAGATACTTTTTCCAATCATTTGGCTGCTGATCCTTAAAAGGAACATGATGCAGGTAGAACATGACTGCAGAATATGCTTTACAATGAGCAGTGGGAATTAGAGCTGGGTCTCCCCAGCCTGGTGGTAGTGGTGATGGTGGTGGTGGTGTGTTAAAGACAGCAACACATCTGTTAGGGAGGAATGTACACCTCAGTGCCAAAGGAGCTATAAGAGGCATGTGAATTCCCTCTCTGAGGGACCTGTAGGCTGTTTGCAAAATCTCCTCGCCTGCTAGCCAGGGGTTGGGATGTGTGATCCCCTTGCCTTGGGGCACTTTCTCCCTCTCTTAGAGCCTTTACTCCCCGTGTCTCTTTACCTCCCCCTTTATCCCTCAGCTTGCCTTCACTGGGTCTAAGGCCCTGGACTGCTCCCAAGAGCCCTGCTTCTGATACTTTCTTTTTGCTCTCTCCTGCTGCCCATAACCACCCAGTGCCTCTCAGGGGCCAGGCACATTCTGCCACCATGCCCAAGTTATTTCCAAAAGAATGCATTGACATTGAGCTATCCTGTGTCTGGAAACCTGACACTATTCACAAAGCTAACAACTAATTCAGAAGGGAAATACAGCTCTTCCCTCTTTCACTTCATTTTGTCATATAAACAGAGCCCAAGAAACTTTGTTAAGTGGATAGAATACTTCTGCATGAAAGTCAGGAGGAGGACTCGCATTTCTGCAGACTTTTCATTTAGCATGCCCCGGGTGCTGAGGCCTGCCAGCTTTTGATGCTGGAAGAGTAACAAAAGGCAGGATAGTTTTACTCTTCTTCTCCTTTTCTTTCTGGAGCCCAGTGTATAAATGGTTGGTGTTTGAAAGAGATGAAGATGCTCTTTTGGCATGATTGCGTGTGACCACCATGAAATATCTGTGCCACAGCCTGTGCTATGGGGGCCTCGCTGCTCATGTCCTGCCTCCCTTCAGCCCCAGGACCCAACACCACAGGGAAAACTAGCCGGCAAGAGGCACGGCTGGGGCACCAACCACAGGCAACAGAAGAGTCAGGACCTGGTCTCAGGCAGTAAACTGGACACAGAGATGCGGGAGCTGAGCAGGACCGGAGGGAGGCAGAAGGGGTGCAGGGAGGAGTTCTTCAGGGGAAGCCAGGAGGTGCCCAGTGGGAGCCTCCAAAATGGCCCCAGGGAACTAGAGTAGGGGAGAAAAGCCTACTGGAACAGGGCTCAGGAACTATTCTTAGCAAAATCTTACCTCTCCTATGGGCTCTGAGGTGGGTTAGAATGTAAGACTTGACTAAAGCAATAATAAACCATTTATCCATTTTCTTCCAGAATTCTGGGTGTGTTTAACCATCTAACCATCTAATTGTATGATTACGTAGGTCCTGGACCTAACTGACAGGGGTTTAACGTAAGGGTTATAAAAGAATAAAATGTCCCAGAGACAAATTTACATATGCTTATTCTATGACTATAGTGCTTCCCTTAATCTTTTTTTTTTTTTTTTTTTTTTTTTTTTTTTTTTTTCCGTGTCCAGCAACAGATCGCAACCCTCAGTGTTGCC